AGTAGTACACACACAGACACACACACGCATACACAATAGTATATATATATATATATATATATATATACATAAATACATACATACATATATATATTCATGAGTATCCACATGCATAGGTGGAATATTTTTCACGTATCTCTTTGCTCAGTGTCACTAGTATTCTGTACGGATTTATAAATTATGTGATAATCCTATGACCTAACCAGCCGGTTGTAACCACGCACGCGGGAAAGGAACGGATGGTGTGATATGGTACATTTCAAAGAACAACTTTCTTCATGCTTATATATTCTGTACAGATGGACTCAGCGCTATACAACTTAGTGTGGGTAGGTGCTGTACGTACGAGTGTAGAGTTGCAATATGTTTCGGTTCAATGTAGAAAACGTTTGCGTCGCATGCTTACCTATCCTGTGCAAGTATACTTCCGTATCAACGCCCAATGGTTTTCCTTGTTCCGAGAATCGGATCGGCAAGTCGTAGTTAATCACCATATTCACCTGGTGCATGTGCAATACAATACATGCGAGTTCACAGGCAATGCCATACAATACAATGTGATCAGAATGTATTATCAGACGTGACTTGAATGCATTCGTACGATAGACGAATTTTACTAAGAAACGTCCAATTTGTAAATGGTACTAGAAAGCGCGTGAGTATATATGAATAATAAATGGAGGGCTTAGGATGCGTTATACAAGCGTTCAATAAAAATCATTTTAAATATACTGAGGATGTTTTAGGCTTGTGAGTGTGGACCAATTTGGAATTGCGAATGAGTTGTACTTAGACGATACATAAAGTGCTCAGGATATGCTATATAAGCGATAATCATGTTTTTTGTACCACAGTATACATATGGTTGCACATATCAAACGTAGGTTGCGCGACGTTGCATGGTACTCAGAATATGCCACATGGAGTGATCAGGATGAGTCCGGACAAATGGGGTCAGCCTGATATTGTATGTATAGGCTCACCTTTCACGCACTGCATTCTCGCATTAAAGCGGTAACTAGTGACAAGGAGTTGGGTAATCCACAAAGGTAGAGAAAGAAGCAGGAAGCACGAATCGCGAATGTCGATCAAGCATACATGGCCACTAATACATAAACACCACTTCTGTCATCGGGTTATCCAATTAATATACATAGATATATATATCCATAGGTTCACTTATCTGACGATTCATGTGTATGGTTTTGTATGGAGCTCACCTGGTCGATATCTATGCCCCGCGACAACACATTAGTTGTCACCAGCACTTTCTTCCTGCCTGATTTGAAGTCATCCAGTTCCCTGTCTCTGGTGGCTGCTTCCATGCTATACTTGTCTTGCGCATTCCCACCAAAGAGAGAGCATACAGAATGCCCGGCTTGCGTCAACCTGTACCAGACAATGAGTCGAATATATATATTCAGCTATACAATTATAACTTTATGTTCGCATAATACACTTATGCACGTATACAGCAGCAAAGTATTTCATATACCACTTTTCGTTTGTTCGTATAAGACACTTGATGCACACATGCGATACATATGCAGCGCCGCAGAGTGATGTACCCCACTGCAGTACTATAATGCTCGTCCTATACACCGACTGACATATCGGCATCCTGGACACATACGAGAGAGAAAAGAGACAGTCTTGAGCAGCACTGTGCTCATACAACACAACGTTACAACCTGTCGAATTGTCTGTCGCCTGATAGAAGGTCTCACGCATTTGTCTTGGGTAGTCCTAATTTAGCTCCCGAAATTGACCACACGCCAACCATACTGAGTTGCACATATCAGTCAATATCTATTAACGTGGCTGCTATGTGGTGCCAAGGGAAGATTCACCCATTATACACGCCTTTGTCTTGGGTAGTCCTAATTTAGCCCACTGAATTAAATACCTGTGGATTATACTGAGTCGCACATATCAGTCAATATATATTATCGTACTGCCAATGTCACACACATCTTCACGAATACCTGTCGACTCGCACTGTGAGTCATACATATCAGTCAATATATCGTATCATGGCCACTATTTGGTATTCAGGGAAAATGTTACCCATGATACACCCCACATTTAAGGTTTTAGGGTTTCCACATTTACAACGATATCCCGTGTCATGTACCCCAAAAGGCATTCCAATTGACACCACCTTCTACTCACGTACTTGTCACACAGCTCTTGCGCTGTCTGTTTCTTATTCACGAATATAATGAGTTGTCCGATTTGCACCGAGTCGTATATATCGGTCACCACATTGTATTTCGAGTACTGATTGGGACACTCTATGACGAATTGCGAGATGGCATCCAGGGCTTGTTTCTGTGTAGAGGGAGGAATTGATACGTATGTGTATATATCTGCAGATATATGTGCATTGACAAGTAGTGAATGCAACGGCTTTCTTGACGCGAATAGGTGAACATCCCTGACAGCATGTTGTGTGCTATGTACTGTACCGGGCTCCTCAGGTGTTTCTGTGCGACACAGAGCACATTGACTATTTCAGTGTCGTAACGCACCATCCACATACACGTATACACGATAGAATAAGATACCATAGATATCGAAACGGGATCAAAACATATCAAATAGTGATCCAAACCATATCGAAATGCGACCCAAAAATATCCAGACGTGACCAAAACCGGACTTGCCTTGACTTCTATCGTAATCTGGACTGCTTCCGGGCATACTTTCGATGCGAATTCCAATACTCGGGGCGTAAACGTGGCCGAAAACATTAACGTTTGATGATTCGGATTTAGTTGCCTATTGGAAGCGAAAAGTCGATGTTCAAAATGGAAAACGTTAGCGATAGATGATCCGGATATAGTCGCCTATTGGTAGCGAAGCGTCGATGTTCAAATCACGAAACAGTGAGTGTTGGATCATAATTCCCAGTACCCGTTGAGAGCAGAACATTAACGTTTGGTGATCTGGATTTACTTGGCTATTGGCAGCGAAACGTCTATGTCCAAAATACGGAAATAGCGAGTGTTAGATCAGAACTCGAGAGTTCTGATTGAGAGTATAACACCAGTGCTTGCTGATACGGATTTACGTACCCATAGATATCGAAACATTGATGTTTAAAATACCGGGTCTAGTGGTTATTCGACCATCACAATCTGGCAAACGAAGATTGAGTTCCTGCTTTAAGTTTAACGTTTTAATCTATGGGGATCAGGGTTTTGGTGCCCATTAAAAATTCAAAAATTATCAAGATCTGGAATTCTGGTTTTAGGTGACTATGACACGACTATCTCAATGCGGAGTGGTCCTGAGTATAAGTTCTTCACACAAGATTAAACCATCGAATTGTGAAATATGATCAGCTTGCCTTCTGGTAAGGATAAAGCCCATTTGCAAACAGTCTACAGCCTTATACAGCCCATTGACATGAATAGCTCGCGTTCTCATACGGATATATAGTCCATATTCATAGATGGCAAACTCTGTGATACGGATATATAGTCCATATTCATAGATGGCAAACTCTGTAGTACGGATATATAGTCCATATTCATAGATGGCGAACTCTGTAATACGTATATATAGTCCATATTCATAGCTGGCAACCTCTGTAATACGGATATATAGTCATATTCATAGATGGCAAACTCTGTAATACGGATATATAGTCCATATTCATAGTTGGCAAATTCTGTAATACGGATATATAGTCCATATTCATAGATGACAAACTCTGTAATACGGATATATAGTTCATATTCATAGATGGCAAACTCTGTAATACGGATATATAGTCCATATTCATAGATGGCAAACTCTGTAATACGGATATATAGTCCATATTCATAGGTGGCAAACTCTGTGATACGGATATAGTCTTTTTGCATGTATGTATAGCTCACCTACTTATACATATATTTCTCATACTTGTGAATAGCATACCTTCATGTAAGGATACAATCCATTGGCATTATCCGCTCCCATTCAGATACGGACGTAATCCATTACACCAACAACGTAGCATATTATACGACTTCATAAAATGGGGTTGTTTCTGTGCGCACATGACTTACTTTCTACCCGGGCATATGATACCTGCCCCCCAAAAACACTATATGATACGGATAGAGTCCATATACATACACAGCTTGCTTGCTTATATGGATATATCCCACTTGCATAGATAACTTACTTTCTGATACGGATGGAGTCTGCCTGCATGCTGCTGACGTCCAGCATTTGGTCGGCCTCGTCGAATACTAACATCTTAATGTGATCTCCATTGATCTTTCTGTTGAGGATGCAGGTGGTGCAAGTGACCTTAAGAATAAATCATACGAACAAAAGAGCCGCCAGCACATTTCCATGCAATCAGTATGAATTTTTAATATAATTGGAATAGTTCGGTACAGAAGTGGCCATTCTATTGTGATATATTTGGCGATTAAGAACTTGTAGACTGAGAATTGTAGTTGTATAAACCCTTCATGCACGTTTTTATTTATACAAATACTTGTTTTACAACGTGTGCGTAGGGTACTACCCATAGTGAAGTAGACTAAGTTGTTTAATATATAACCGTTATCTTGCAATCACATACGTTGGTTTGCCATATCACTTGAATTGAGAAATTAATCAGCGGAAATACGCTCTCTCTCCAGGTGCATATCTGTGAAGATAGAAAAGCTATCCGCAGACGAATTGGGTCACACATGGCCCGGCAAAGTTTAACAGGTCTATATGGTCTTCGGGATGAGTCTTGATGCCATAACCAATAGCTGCGTATGCACATCATGTATATACCATGCAATTATAGGTACACAAAATTTCACGATCTGGTATGCATGTGTACATATGCCAATTCAAAACGTACGAGCGCAAACATATCAATACGAATATGAAGAATATGCATATCCAGATACCAATACCAGGTCACACACACTGCCCATTGGTCTGAGCATGTGGTGTGCCAGCCTTCTCCACTCCCACGTTCATACAGTTGCGTGTACAAGTGCTTGTTGCGTCTACCTTGAATACACTTTCGACATCTACTATAAGCTAAAGGCGTACTAGACATAGACACGACTTTCTTGAGGTGCAGGACTCGCACATACAGATGAATAACACGCGTTCTGCGGAAAACATCGAGAACATGGCTACCGTAACAACGTATTCAAACATAAGACACAAAAGATACAAGAGCAGATTGACACCAAACCTACCCAAAAGTACCAAACAGAATCTGTAATTTGGAATCTGCGTAGGTGTGTATGTTCACGCAGATGACTTGCCTTCGTACAATAGAACCTACGACAATGTACATAATATGTTCTTAAACAGATATATATATATAAACATACATAGATATATATATACCTGCATACCTGCATACATACACACACACATATATATATACATATACGTACCTGCATATATACATATATGCATACATATATACATACACATACGCATATATACATATATACCTATATATATATATACTGGATATACTCAGTGTGTATGCATGATAAGGTAATATGCAGTAGTATGTATACATACATAGCCGCTCACGCTTACTTTGATTTCAACAGGTCAATAACCGAACCAGGCGTTCCAATCACAATCTGTTCCTTGATCACTAAATTCCGGTCGCGCTTCTGTCCGGATACGGCAAGGTGCAAGCCAATGTCTGTGAAGCGACCAATCTCAGAACATACATCGAAGGTTTGCCTGAGATTATCAATTACCAACTTTTATTAGATATGACTTAGCTGGAGCTTTGTGGATGTGAAACACATTGCAAGACCTCCCAAGTTGCAACTGCTGTGTTTGTGCAAGAAAACTTGAATACATATACATATACGTATACATACATACATACATACATATTATATATATATATATATACATATAAGTATATACAGAAACACATAAACACGCAGACACAGACACAGACACACAGATATATTATATACATATATATATATATATTGCTAGTTTGCCCACGTAATGAGGGCCAGTAGATCGATTCATGCGCAGAATAATGTTATACATATTGATATAATTCAGTATATAGAGATACGATTTGACGAAACCGTGAAGAAGTATCTATCTATCATATGTACATATCAAGATCCAAAAGGTGACTTTCCAGTCTCAGAAAAAGCAACTTGTGGGTATGTGATCTTTAGTGGTGGGCCCTATATCGAATACAATTTGTACAAGTTTCAGGGTTTAAAAACCCTCAATTAGCCTATATTGGTGGTCTTTATAACGTGTACCATTTGTACAATGTAAGATGCACTAACTTGGCCAATTCACCAGCAGCAGATTAACAAAGTGCCTGCGGGGGATGCTGTGTGATAAATCCTGGCACGTATAGTACCAAACCCTTGGACAATTATTCACACAAGAATACATACATGAAACTCCACATACCACACTGGCAAGATCAATATCATTTACTATTAGCTCGACTTTGATCCACACACTTCACCAGTTCATAGGCCGCAGATACACAACGCACTCGCGGGAGTTACTGTCTGAGATCAAACTTAGCAAATATAGCCACAAACTCAGGAAGGTACCCACACAAGAACACATACACGGGGATCTGCAAACTGTACTGGTACGATCAATAGTAGGTACCATTTGATCGAGTACTGTACACTTACTTAGCCAGTTCGCGAGCAGGAGATACACAGAGCGCCTGCGGGTGTTGCTGTGTAAGATCTATTTTAGCCAGCATGCCCAGAGAGAAGGCCGCCGTCTTCCCAGTTCCTGATTGTGACTACGATATGGATGACAGAGGGATAGGCTATATATGAACCATTTATATATGCACATATACATATACATATACATTTGCACATAAATATGGGTACAGGTAAATGTACGTATAGACGCAAGGCAGATGTTCATGGAGAAATACAGAAACAGTTACTATGTACATATAAACGCAGGTCGGAACGCATGGGTGAGTCAACAAGTGATTTCAGATGAAATGCGTACGTACCTATACACACAGGGTGTCCAGGCTTGCGCGGATCTCTCCACTATAACTCCTTGCGAGAGGTGTGGCTCGCACGCATACAAATCGCATCTGCATACTCGTGCATTCGTGTTTGTCTACCCGAAACTCCACAGAAAATCTGAACTCTTACACAATCACACAACCGCAGATATCTCCAGGGTACATGCCCCTAGTCCTCTTAGCGTATGTGTTCCGAACATCTAAAAGAGTGATTCTCTATACCCATTTGCAGCACAAAGGTTTGGCGACACTCCCGTACTGTGTATCCACACCTACCTGCGCCAGCAGATCTTTATTTTCTTTCAAAATGATGGGGAAGGCTTTAGCTTGGATGTTTGAAGGCTTTTTGAATCCCATAGCATACACGCCTTTCAGTAAGGTTTCCGACCTGAGTGTTGATCACACGAAACACGATGGATTGCGGGGATTGAGACTACCATACATGTTTCAATCACTTTTAAGTCGAATGCATGCGTGACAGCAAGCGGATAGGTACATCAATGTTTCAGAGCGGTGGTGTGAGGGAACATGGCACATTTTTGTTGTTGTTTAGGTTGTGCACTGGATATGAACATACTGGAAGGTGGTGGTGCGGGTAAATGCTTCATACTAACATACATCCAGCCCTGTTTGCCGAAAAGATAGCCGAGTCATTGTCGCGAACCAGTACACATCCATGGACTGACAAAACAATACGGACTTTTTTCGGGTGATAAAACAAAAAATATCCGTAGATTCCACAAGTAGAAGATCTCGATACAGTACCTAAAAGCAGTGAGCACAGCACAATACTTACACGTGCACTATATCATATACACCCGCCTTTGGAAAGCTACTACTAGAACCACACAACTTTGCGCCCATATCGTGCTGCAAATAGGTGTGTGGCTACATTGCACAGACCGACGTACGAATCGGGATCTGCCAGGACATCGCTTCGCCAACCACAGACTTGCTGCCGTATCTGGTTCTGCTTCACCCAGACGCCTATATGATATCCTTCGCAACTAACGAGTACAGATAAATGCTGCATACATACAGGTTGAGTTCCTCGAAGCTTTGGCATTCCGAGTAGATTACCGAGTTCTTGTCTGCTTGTTGCCGTTCTTGTTCCTCCGTCCAGTCTATCCTTCCCCCAATAGCGCCTTTTCCGGCAATGCTGAATTTGTCCGCTAGAAATGGGGCAGTGATGTGAAACGATATTAATTCTTCAAGCCACCCATATGTCATTTCATTCGCTAAGAATAGCTTGCAAATACATTCATCGCCGGGCATATTTCAATCAGCAGTATCTATGCTGTCCAGTCTACCAGTTTGACTATAAAATAAAGATTCGGCTAAAAAAGGACTGGTGCCAAACATGTATATGAGCAGTCGCGCTTAATATATAGCAGCGAATACGGGCCAGATATATTGGAGTTGCCCTCCGACCCAGGGCTACAATTCATAGAGAACAATAGTAGCGCGACATGGAAAAGTAAGTTCGGTATCCACTAATAGAGGGACTACTATTAGGAGAAGTCTGGGCAGAATACAATGGCAATTTTGAGCCAAAAACACCATAGTCGCCAAATTTGAGAAGCTGATGTAAAGTGTTTGATACCAGCAAATCAGAGCCACCGTCACGATCAGGCCCGCAAAAACAAAGATACTGCAATAGGTGCTTTAGAGAATCAGATAGGATTCGCACCTTGAAATTCGGCACATACATTCAGATAACACCGCTAATTCGTGTACCAACATTCGCTATCTCATATGCGTCTATATGTGCGTAATAAATCTAGAAATTTCATTCTTCGTGAACACATATACAAACAAAAATACAACATGTTGAACGATCACAAACAAGTAGAACAAAATATTAATCTCAGAATGATTGTGCACCATGAAGAAAACTTGGATGTTATGAAAACATGATTGTTATATATATATATATATATACATATATACATACACACACACACACACATATATAGATATATATATATATACATATCATAAATGTACACGTATATATAGCTATACACACATACACAAATAAATATACATGTATATATATTGAAATCAAACACACACACACATATATATACATATATATATGTATGTTAACACACACACACACACACACACACACATATATATATATGTATACAACACACACACACACACAC